GCATTGCGTCGCATACTTAAGCTAATCTAAGCATACCGGGCCCCTTTGTGAGAATGCTAGCGTACATGTGCAGCCTATTAAGCCATAGTGTAGCACTCCCGCTGTTTAGTTGTAGCTGACCCCATTACCTAACCATGCCAAAGCATGTGGCGCTTTCTGCAACATGCGACATGAAGCAGAAAAGCATGCCGCAATGCATTGTACGACTTCTAGACAATACCCAAAGACATGACATTGCAGACGCCAGTTCATAGAATGCAGCTTGACAGCTTCCAGAACCCTGTGACACCATAAACCAAGCATGGTTTTTATCACGATATGCCATGACAAGCCATAAAGCACTGCAATGAGCTATCACATACTATATCGTGATGTAGCAGGTCGCATCGACGAAAGTACTTCCATGTAAGAAGACACTGCGGGAGGCTGCAACATGCTGGCTGTAGGCATCTGTAGGCTTCAAAAGCCCCAAGGGTCCCTACCCTAAACCCTAAACCCTAAACCCTAAACCCTAAACCCTAAACCCTAAACCCTGGACTGTACAGCTCCAAAACGAAGATCCGTAGCAGCACTCGCCTGCGGGCACGTGAAACCAGGGCCGACTGCAGTGAGAGACGAGGCGCGAATTCAACAGACATGCAGTGGAGAGCCCAATACCCCTCAATTTTGATTTAAGGTATATACCCTAAACTATAAGGGCCTTAAGATTATGATTGAAGGATATACCTTAAACTATAAGGGCCTTAATATTATGATTTAGAGTATATACCTTAATTTAATTCAGGGGTATGGGGTTCTCTGGGTGCAGCGGAGGCAGGAAGTGCTGAGACTCCAACAGGTTCCACAGAAAGCAAAAGGACTCAGCTGAAGCGACCCCAAAGTAATATAGGGGTTTAGGGTTTAGGGGTTTTGGGGTTTAGGGGTTTAGGGGTTTAGGGGTTTGGGTTTAGGGTTTAGGGTTTAGGGTTTAGGGTTTAGGGTTTAGGTTGCACAGAAAGCAAAAGGCCTCAGCGGAAGCGACCCACAAAAGTAATGTAAGGGCCTTCATAATTAGAATAGGGTTTTGGGGTCCTTTATGGTATAAATATATTAAGGAGCCCCCCAAATAGTATAAGGAATTGCTGAAGCGACCCAGAAGTGTGTATCCGAACCAAGATCGATCCCCGATCGGCTGTTGCCCGAGTTGCTGGGAGCTTCGAGTTTCGGAACATTCAACTCGGCTTTAGTTTAGAGTTGAGGGATTTGGGTTTTGGACTTAGGGTTGAGGGTTTAGGGCCTGGGGCCTGGGACTGAGGATAAAAGAAAGAAACAATGAGATGTCCTTTCTTACTGGAATTCATATTACCAAGAACAGCGCCAGAAGCAACAACGACGACGACAGCAGCAACGGCAATAATGAATACCATAACGCTGTGTCCTGTCGGAAGCTCGTCGGAAAGGTGCCATGCACGTCAGATCATCTCGCGAGGCGGATGCACGCCGTCGCCAGTGGAGGCTGTGGGAAACGAACCTTCAGCTCCAGCGTTGGGGGGTCCAGCAAGCAAGCCCATCTGCGACACTTGCATGGCCGCAAATCGAACCAATCAACACCATCGGCGCTTGCCGTGACGTGTGTGCACATACAGGCACAGAGATAGGTAGGTAGGTAGGTAGGT